ACAAAGTATGCTATCTGATGACAATGGAATTAAATTAGAATTTGATAACAGAAAGATATCTGAACAATCAAAAAATATGTGGAAACTAAATAACACACTTAAGTAAGCTATGAGTCAATAAAGAAATCACAAGGAAAATGAGAAATTATTTAGATTTGATTGAAAATGAAAACATAACATATGAAAATGTCTGGGATACAGCAGTACTTATAGGGAAATTGATACCACTAAAAGCCTATATTGGAAAAGAAGAAAGATCTCAAATTACTCACCTCAGTGTCCTCCTTCAACTAAGAAAGGGAGAGAAAATGAAACCCAAAGGAAGCATAAAAAATGAAATAAACATCAGAGCTGAATTCAATGACATAGAACACATAAATAACAGAGAAAAACTGATGAAACCAAAAGCTGGTTCTTTGAGATTAATAAAACTGATAAAGTTCTAGCCAGACTGATCAGAAAAAACAAGAGGGAATTCATATGACCAATATCAGGAATGAGAGGGGTGACATCACTATAAATACCACAGATATTAAAAGAAGAATAAAGGAATATTATGAACAACTTTATGCCAATATATTGACAGCTTAGATGAAATAGGCAAATTCCTCAGAAGATGCAAACTACCAAAGCTCTCTCAAGAAGAAATTTATAACCTGAACATCCCTATATCTAACAAAGAAATTGACCTTGTGGTTAAAGACTTTCCTACAAAGAAAACTCCAGGCCCAGATGACTGCACTGATGAATTCTGCCAAATATTTAAGGAAGAAATAATACTAAAGTCTACACAAACTTCCAAAAATAGAAGAGGAGGGAAACTTCCCTACTCATTCTATGATACCACCATTACTTTGATACCCAGACCAGATATTACAAGAAAAGAAAACTATAGACCAATATGCCCCATGAACACAGATGCAAAAATGTTAAATAAAATTTAGCAAATAGAATCCAACAATATATTAAAAGGAGAATACACCACGACCAAGTGAGGTTTATTCCACAAATGCAAGATTGGTTTGATATTTAAAAAAATCAATCAATGTAATTCACCACTTTCATAGACCAAAAGTGAAAAACAAGATGATAATCTCAATAAAAGCAAAAAAAAAAAAAAAAAGAATTTGACAAAATACACCATCCATTCTTCATTAAACTCTTGGAAAACCATATGATAATCTCAAAAAATGCAAAAAAAAAAAAAAGAATTTGACAAAATACACCAACCATTCTTCATTAAACTCTTGGAAAACTAAAACTGAAAGGGAATTTCTTCAGCCTCATGGAAGGCATCTACACAAAACCTACAGCTAAGCTCATACTTAGTGGTGAAAGACAATGTTTTTCCCCTAAGTTCAGGAAAAAGGCAATTATGTCCCCTGTCACCATTTCTATTCATCATTGTAGTGGTGGATAGAGCCAGTGCAATAAGTCAAGGAAAATTGATAAAAGGCATCCAGATTGAAAAGGAAAAAATAAAACTTTTTATTTGCAGAAAACATGATTGTCCATGTAGAAAATCCTGTGGAAATCTTTAAAAAGCTACTAGATCAATATTAAAAAATAAATTGTATTTCTACATAGTCACAACAAACAATCAGAAATGGAAATTTAAAAATACAACTTATAATATCAAAAATATGAAATACTTAGGGATAAATCTGACCAAAAAATATGCAAGAGTTGTACACTGAAAACATTGATGAGAGAAATTAAACCAGACCTAAATAAATGAGTAGATATACCATGCTCATAGATCAGAAAACTCAATATTTTTAAGATATCAGTTCTCTCCAAATTGATCGATAGATTCAAGACCCTGAGCTAGACAAGTTCCATGATGCATTTATGGAGATGAAACTATAGACAATTTCACATTTATTCACTAGTCACAAATATTTATTTAGCACCTATTATGTGCCAGGCTCTGGAGATATAGTCATGAATAAAACTAAGATTCTACTCACACCCATTCCAATGTGTGGGTTTTTTCTCCATCACCAAGCAATTCTCCAACACCAGCTGGGTGTCCTACAATTCAACTGAATTCTAACACTATCTACCTGGTAATAGTGTCAGATCCCACAGGTAACAGCTCAATCCTACAACACTTTCCCCCGCCGCCCCCCCCAACTCCCCTTCAGACACCAATTGCAAGTGCAGGTTGTCTCCTGTGCTTCTGACTTACTAGCTATTGATTGGAGGCTCCAACGACCCCCTCCTGGGGTTCAATTAATTTGCTAGAACAGCTCACAGAACTCAGAGAAACATTTTACTTACTAGATTACCAGTTTATTATAAAAGGATATAACTCAGGAACAGCCAGATGAAAGAGAAGCATAGGGCAAGGTATGGAGAAATGGCATGGAGCTTCCATGCCCTCTCTAGGCGCACCACTCTCCCCACATCTCCACATGTTCACCAACCCAGAAGCTCTCTGAAAACCATCCTTTTGGTATTTTATGGAGGCTTCACTATATAGGCACAATTGACTAAATCGTTGACCATTGATTCAGCCTCTATCCCCTCTCTCATCCCCAGAGGTCAGGGGTGGGGGTGAGGACTGAAAGTTCCAACACTCTAATCACATGGTTGGTTCTCCTGGCACCCAGCCCCCATCATTAGGTGCAGTCCAAAAGTCACCTCATTCATATAACAAAAGATAGTATTATTGCTCTCATCACTTAAGAAATTCCAAGAGTTTTAGGACCTCTGAGCTAGAAATGGGGATGAAGTCCAAATATGTTTCTTATTATAAATCACAATATCACAAAAACAAAAAATATATATGCCCTCATAAAACATATATACTATGAGAGAAAGAGAGGGAAAGGAACAAGATAAATCAAGGATGCCTCCTAAATTTTTGAGTAACCAGGTGGTTGATGGTACATTTATTGAACTAGGAGAAGTGCTACATTGGGGAGGAGGGCAGGAATTAAGAGTTTGATGCGGACATGTGACGTTGGAAGTGGCTTTTAGACATCCAAGGGAAGATTTCAGGTAGGCAGAAGGAATTAGGGGTCTGAAGTTCAGGGGAGAGGTAGGGGCTGGAGATATAGATTTGTAAGCCATTGTCATATAAATCATATTTAAAGCCATGAGACCAAATGAGATCATTTAGAGAAAAATTTCAAAAAGAAAAGGCCCAAGGCCAAACCCATGAGTATTCCAACATTTGGAAGTGGAACAGAGGAAGAGTATTCAGTAAAGGAAATAGAGGAGTAGTCTTAGTGACGTGGGAGAAACTACCTTTTGTGAGATGTTCTAGAAACAAAGATAAGGAAGTATTTCAGCTTTGTTGAATGCTGTTGAGGTCAAATATGGTGAGGACAGAGAGAGTCTCTTTAATGATTCAACTGGAATTTCACTGATAACTTGACAAGAGTAGTTTCAGGACAGTAGTCAGTGTCAAGAAACCAATTAAAGTTGACTGAAGAGAGAACTGGACACGAGAAAATGTAGGCAGCAACAAGAAGCAACCCTTCAGAAAAATTTTCTATGAAGGAAAGCTAGGAAACGGAGCAATTGCTCAAGTGGGCTATAGGTCAAGAAAGGATTTTTTAAAGATGAGATATAAAAATATGTCTTTATGAGATTGAAAATGCCAGCAAAGTCAATGGCTACTAGCATCAAGTGGGCTCTTAATTGCCAGGCAATACTACTACATTTCCTTAATCCATTCACTCTCCCATATTCCTAAATAACATTAGAATGTCAAATGCCATTGATTATAAAATACATTATTATTGTATGTACTAGTAAGAAAGAAAAAAATGTTGCCAATTAAACTACGGCATGCCATCATTTGCAAGATAGCAATTACACAGATGTTGAAATAGGAAAAAATTGTGTATTAGAATCAATGTAATACAGTATTTATCTTTTCTCTTCTCAAGCCTTGAATACCTTCTCCTTATCTTCACTTTCAGCTTCCCATTTCACTGAGAAAATAGAAGCACACAGAAGAGGCCATCCTCATTCTCCCACCACCAAATCTGTCCACCTATCTACATCTGTACCTGTAAACTCTGCCTCTCCTTTTACTTCAATGGATGAATTGTTCATACTCTTATCTAGAACAGAGCCTTCCAATTGTGTACTGGATTCCATTCCTTCTCTCAAGGACTTTTCCTCCTGCAACTGTCCTGTCTCTCCTGCATTGTCAATTTCCCCCTCTCTCCTGTATCATTTTAATTAGGGTACAAACATACTGTAATCTCTTCCATCTTTAAAAAAAAAATTCTGGACCCAAAATCCATATGCAACAGCAGCATTATTTTTCTGCTCAACTTAAAAAAGCAAAACTTCTTAAAAGTATTGTCTATACTTGCTTTTTCCACTTCCTCTCCTCCCATTCTTTCACCCCACTCTTATCAAACTCTTATCAGACCTCCAAGACTGCCAAAATGGCATGTTTCAACAACCTCCACATTGCTAAATCCAATGGTCAATTCTTAGTTCTCATCCTTCTTGACCTATAGGCACCATTTAACACAGTGGATCACTTCCTACTTGAAATATTTTCTTCCCTTGATTGTGCACATCCAAACGTTCCTACTTTTCCATTTACCTCACGGATTATTACTTCTCAGTCTTTGTTGGGTCCTCTTCATCTCCCTGACCTAAGCTAGTGCACTGCTAGAAGAAATCGAACTGAGTAAGCGTAAATTATTCTCTTAGCATACTGCTGACTTAGATTTGCTAGTATTAAAAATTCTGATGTCTATTTTTTTTTTAACGAAAACGATATAACCACCTCCCTTTTAAAAAGGAGCGTGCGCTCTCAGCGCAGCCCCGGAGACACCATCCCAGGAATCTCGCCGCAAAGACGCCTTCCGGAAACGAGCTCCACAAGCCTTATGGGGAATGTAGTCTCCGATGGATGGCCTGCACCGCAGGGGAGGCTGGGAACTCTGGGTGGGCAATTACTTCCGCACAAGCGCAGTGGGGCAGTAACCGGTATTCTGTAATCTTCGAACCAGCGCTCCGTGAAGTGAGAGCAGGGATTGCTCCCCGAGCCTCTCTGGGAGATCCCTGTAACCTGATCTCGGGCTTAGAGCCGGAGCTGGGAGCCTGGCGGTAAAAGGTTCGCAGGTATGACTGTGGGACTCCGAGGACGTAAGGGAAGGGCGGGGAGAAAGAGCAGGACAGGTTTATTGGCTTACCCAACTGAAGATAAAACTTCACAACCCCCACGTGCGATGACTTCGTGTTTGGGTGTGTGGGTCCTGTCCAATTCAGGAGTAGTTCAGAGAAAGCAAGAGCACAGCTCCGACTGCCGCTCAGTGGGTTCCAGATCCCAGGTGGGGTTGGGGCAGACTCAGTTTGCATCCCTGCCGTTGTAGGTAAAGGTGACTCTGTAGGAGTCTGTGCATCAAACTGTACCTTTCGTGGTTACAAGAGCACCGTTGGCCCTACCAGACTGCCACAGGAAATATTAAACCAATTCAAGCGATCTAGAAAGCATTTCTAGAGAAACTGCTATGCACTCTGCTTAGGGCATTCTCACAACAATCATCTGAAGTAAATGTTATCTCCGAATTTCATCTTGTTTTGCAAGACAGCACCCTGCAAAAAATAGAGTTGGATTTATTCTCCTTTTGAAATATTTGAGCAATGAATGCTGCATAAATTTCAATTTGTCTTTTTTTTTTTTTGGAGTCTCTTGGTAAACCTGCAGATCTTTCAGGGGAGAATGTGTAAATAAAGCTGTGAGTCCCTCTTGCACATTTTAGCCTTTCTAGGGCCCCAACAGTGCTGGTTGGAATTTCAAAAAGCCCAGACTGGGCTCATTGGAGATGATGAGTTCCCAGAGAGAGAGAGAAACGGATTTGGAGGCTAAACTGAAGGCTCCAGCTTAAAAAAAAAAAAAAATTGTTCCTGGGTCCCTGGATCCAGCCTTCTCAAGAAAGCCCAACCTAATTTGAGATCTCTTACCCCAGCTTCAGAGCAGAGACCAGAGAAAAACAGGAAGGAATGACTTCCAGAGATACTGAGCTTGAGAGACCAGGCTTTTAGTTAGTCTTTTAACTCATTCACTATTATTTTCTTCAGCTAAATTTCTGGGAGGGAAAAAAAATGTCACTGGTTCAAAGGTTAATGACTTGCTGTTAGACCAGTAGGACAGAAATGTACAACATCCGTATCTAAACTCCATATATTCATAACAGAATCACAATTAAGAGATTGGTGCTTATAAAATATGGACTTTTCTGACTTGTTGGAAATGTCATTCTCCCACTAGGTGGCATTTTATGAGGCTGCAATGTGGGTGATTCTGTTCTGCGAGAGCAGGGTTCTACATTGCAGTCCTGGTTTTTAATATCTTTCTGTTTTCTTTCCCATTTCTACTTTCATAGATCTCTGTGCAAGAGCTTCACAAAATGATCAACTTCCAGGTAAGACATCCTTTTATTCAGTCATTTAAATCTCTGAAAAATCCACATAAAAGGGAAATGTATAGTCAGGGAAAACGTAGATTGAATAAATCAGATCCAAAAGGGAATTTAGCAAATTGATAAGTTGATATCCATGTCATAAGGTGTACACATAGTTGGAATAAATTTGAGCTGCGTATGTGTAGCCAATCTTTTTGGCAATCATAGAAAGTCGATAGCCAACAAGTTAAAGTAATGGCATTGTCCATGAGGATAAAGCAAAACAATTCCCCAGATAAGTAAAGTTTTTCCTGCCACACTTCTCTGAAGAAAATGTCTTATAATGAGTTTTCATAGAGATAGTGTTAGAATAACATTCACAGCAACAACCCTGTGATAAATATAACATCAGATTTCCTATAACTTTCTTAGAGTGGTCCCTAGAGTCAGCAGAGAACATAATGCCAAGCAGCACTATATGAACTCAATTTGTAAGTCCAGGTACATAGACTTTTAAATGTTCATCCATAAGTAAACCCTGCATCTTTTACAGAGTCTCCAGCTAGTCTTGAGCATTTCCTTTTCCATGTGAATTTTAAAATCAGCTTGTCAAGGTCCATAAAAGAGTATGTTAGGTATTTTTATTGTGATTGCATTACACTTTTAGATTAATTTGGAGAGAATTCATAACTTCAATAATGAGTCCTCCATTTATTCAGTTATTCTTATAGGACCTTCATTACATTTTTATAGGTTTATTATTGTAATTCTTGAACCTTTCTTGTAATGTTTGTTCTTACATATGGTTTAAGTTGATATTGACAATGGGACAGATCTTTTTTCATTATATTTTTTAATTGGCTATTCTGGTATATAGGAAAGTATGAATTTATCTATTTGACTTTATATCAACTTACAGAACTCTTATTAAGTCCAAGAGTTTTTTAGTTGATTCTAGATTTTCTTTATTTTTTTTTTTTAATTTGGTGTGTAAGATTGGCCCTGAGCTAGCATCTGTTGCCAGTCTTCCTCTTTTTGCTTAACGAAGATTGTCCCTGACCTAACATCTGTGCCAGTCTTCCTCTATTTTGTATGTGGGACGCCGCCACAGCATGGCTTGATATGAGCAGTGTGTAGGTCTGTGCCCGGGATCTGAACCTGTGAACCCCGGGCCGCTGAAGTGGAGCACACGAACTTAACCACCATGCCTCTGGGCTGGCCCCAATTCTCGATTTTCTAGGTAGAGAGTCATATACTCTTCAAATGGAATTTTGTCCCTTATTGCCCAATACGTAAGTCTCCATTTTTTTTTCTTGTCTTATTGCAATGGACAGGACTTCTAGTAACTATAATTTTGAATGTAATTGCTAGCCAGAATCTTTTTTGTTCCAATTTTAATGGGAATACTTCCAGTGCTTCACTGTTTCCTCTTGTATTTTGGTATATAATTGTTTTTTGGTTTTGTTTTTAATCAAGTTAAGCATATTTAGCTTGTGAAGATTGTTTTCATAAATTAAAATTTTTTTCTCATATCCTTTTTTTTTATAGCTGTCAATAAAATCCTATGTTTTGTCTTCTTTAACATAGCAGTTTAGAGAATTTCTAATACATTTCCCAATATTGAACTATCTGTGCATTCCTGGGATAAACCCTACCTAGTCTCTTAACTTTTTAAAGGGCCACATAGTCAATATTTTAGGCTTGAAGACTATACAGCCTCTGTGGCAACTACTCAACTGAAGTAAATGAATGGGTGTAACTATGTTCCAGTGACATTGTATTTACAAAAACAGGAGGTCAGCCCATGGGTTGTAGTTTGCTGACCCCTGCTCTATATGGTCTTAACTGTCTCTTTGTGATAGACATGTAACCACATGCTTTTTCAATTTCAGTTTAAACAAACATGGTTTTGGCTTTATGGTTGAGAGGATATATGTTATCATGTAAAAAAAAACATATCTTCCTATTTTATTATGGTTATGTGAGTCTGGCATATTAACCTTATAGCCCTTGTAACATCTTACTGTACTTATGTGTTTACTTTGTAGTGTCTAATAGATTGTAAGATCTCTGAGGCAGTATTAATTTTATTATTTTTGTATCACTAGTACAGTATCTGGTAGTTTCTCATTAAATATTTTATGAGTGAATGAATGAACATATAAGCAGTATTTTAAAATAATATTGAGATATAATTCACATATTACAAATCAACACATTTAAAGTATATACAATTCAGTGGTTTTTAGTATATTCACCAAATTTTGAAACCATCACCACTATCAATTTCAGAACATTTCCATTACCCTCAAAAGAAAACACCATACCTGTTAGTAGTCACTCCCCATTCCTCCCCTCCCCAGCCCTAATTTACTTTCTGTTTCTATGGATTTGCCTATTCTGAACATTTTATGGAACCATACAATATGTAATCTTTTGTAACTGACTTCTTTCACCCAGCACAGTATTTTCAAGGCTCATCTATGTTGTAGATTCCTTTTTATTGCCAAATAATATTGCATCATATGGATATACCTCATTTTGTTTATCTGTTCATCTGATGATGGATACCCATATTGTTTCCACTTTTTGGCTATTAAGAATAATTCTGCTATGAACATTTGTGTACAGGTTTCTTTTGTGAACGTATGTTTTCAATTCTCTTGTGTATATACCTAGGAGGAATTGCTGGGTCATATGACAACTCTACGTTTAACATTTTGAGAAACTGCCAAACTGTTTTCCATGGTTGCTGCACCATTTTACAATCCCACCAGCAATGTATGAGAATTCCATTTTCTCCACATCCCTGTCAACACATGTCATTGTCTGTCTTTGATTTTAGCCATCCTAGTGGGTGTGAAGTGATAACCTCATTGTGGTTTTGATTTGCATTTGACTAATGACTAATGCTCTTGAATATATTTTCATGTGCTTATGGACCATATATGTCTTTGGAGAAATGTCTATTCAAATCCTTTGCCCATTTTTAAATTGAGTTGTCTTTTTATTGTTGTGTTGTAAGATTTCTTTTTACATTCTACGTGCAAATCTCTTTTCAGATATATGATTTGCAAATATTTCCTCCCATTCTGTGGATTGTCTTTTCACTTTCTTGATGGTGTTCATTGAAGCACAAAATTTTTAAGTTTTGATGAATTCCAATTTATCTATTTTTTGTTTTGTTACTTATACTTTTTCTGTCATATCTAAGAAACCACTGCCTAATCCAAGGTCACAAAGATTTACTCCTATGTTTCCGTCTAAGAATTTTATAGTTTTAGCTCTTACATTTAGGTCTCCGATCCATTTTGAGTTCATTTTTATATATGATGTGAGGGGTGTAGGGGAGGGGGAGTCCAACTTCATTCTTTTGCATGTGGATATCCAGTTGTCCCAACACCATTTGTTAAAAAGACTATTCTTTCTCTTATTGAATTGTCTTGGCATTAGTTGAATATTTTTAATAAGATTTTTGTTTCTGTGACAAAGTATATTTCTGAATCAAGTGTACAGTAGTTATCATATGTAACTTTCTGAAAACTCAGCAGTGAACATGATATGATCATAAGAAGCTGCTGTGATTCTCTTGCAAGTCCCCAAATGATACACACTTTAGTTTGAAGATAAATGTGCTGTTACAGGGATCAGTGACATTCCAGGATGTGGCTGTGGACTTCACCCCAGAGGAGTGGCAGCTGCTTGACTGTGATCAGAGAACCTTGTATTGGGATGTGATGTTGGAGAACTTTAGAAACCTCATCTCAGTGGGTAAGGACAGTGGGTGGTAACTTTTCAGTGTAACTCAGAATGTGTTAATAGTGCCCTTCCTTTAAGACTTGTGCAAGCTGTGACCATTCTGAAGCAATAATAAGTCTGGTCCTGAATTTTAGGGGTCAGAGATTGGTCTGATCCCTTTAGGGATCAGATGGTCTGTTTATGCTTCTACTTCCCAAATGGAGGAGAAGGGCCTTTTCTGTTCTAAGGCCCATTTGTCATCCGTTACAGGCCCTGAGACTCAAGGAGGCAGACCTGAATTGTGAGGTAGTTGGTTGTCCCTGGCACTTTGTCTCCAGTTCTGTGTTGTTTCCCATGAACAGGGAGTCCAGTTACCGAAACAAAAGTGATCTTCAAGGTGGAGCAAGGACAAGAGCCGTGGGTGCTGAAGGGAGAGAACTCACACTGGAGCTGTCCACGTGAGTGAGAAAACCAGGTAGACAGGAGTCTTTGGAATTGAGATCCCAGGTGGTCAGAGAGAGACAGGCACCTTTGAAGACTTTTCAGGAAGCACCTCTTAAAAGCCACACACCTTTGGAAGTGACTGGGTCCACTTGACATAGCATCATCATGTCCCCAAATGAGACCTTCACTTTCACTCTCCCCACACAGCTGCTCTTTCTCTCTGCTCAGCTCTCATGTGGAGGGATGTCCCTCTCCTCTCTACTCTGGCTCCTTGCACTGCCTGTTTCATCTAGATCCTTGCCTTGTTCTCTTAATTCCTAAAATCCTCATTCTTCCCTCCTCCACATGATCTTTTCCATACAGTTAGTCCGTATAATGTAATCACATTGTGTGGATTTGAAGTCTTACTCCACCAGTCACTGTCTAACCTAATTATTTTGTAGCACAGCTTTCTTTATTACATGCAAAACCCTTCAAATAGTTGGCAGATAGTAAGCGTTCAGCATTTGTTAGTTTTTATTTCAAAACGTTTAGTAACATTATGTTCTTCCTAATTATTTTCCTTTCTGTTTTAAACTCATTCCTTTTCTTGTATCATATACCCTACCTGTGTACCCCACCTTGCTCATCTTTAGCCTCACTGCTGACTTGGGGAATCTACTTTCTAGTGCATCTTTCTGCTTCACTTGGTAATAATTCTCCAACTTTATTTGGGTTGGTTCCTTGCTAATCTGCCCTCACCCTTTCTTCTTGCTTATTCATCTTTTGCTTCTTGCCTTCTCTTCCATCTTCTGAACTTCTCTCCACAGTAACTCCCTCAGAAACTTCATCCCTGTAAAGACTAAAGTTATTTGTTTTATGCCATCTCTAGCATCTTTGCCTCACCAACTTTCCATTCCCATAATTTTACCCCACTTGGCCTTATTCTCTGTTTTCTCATGGTAACCAATTTTTAATATTCTTCAACCTTCACCTTTATCTTTACATTACAATAAAGGATAATAACTGGCCTGCTGCTTTGCAATCTGAAAATCACTGTGGTAAGCAATTTGGTTGTTTTTCTCTCAAGAGTTTCTCCTTAAATATTATTGTGACTTATTGCCTATGATTTCAACTATTGTTTATCTCAGACTGATTCAAAATAAGATTTTCCATTTCCACAGAGCCCATAAAAGAAGTATGTTTTAAATGATTAAGACACCAATTAAGTGTACTTTAGATTCCCTGGGACCCGAGCTTCTACTGACATAAACCAAATGAATTTTAACTCCTGATATGGTGTCTAGGCTGTTTATTTTCCTATATTGCCATTTCTGTTTCCTGGTTTATCTTAGATGTTCCTGCAAGATTTATCCAAATTATTTCATTTTTCTTGTCACTCTCCTGACAAATAAACATAAGTTATTCCTTTATAACCTGTATTGTGAAATTTAAATGGCTTTTAAGGCCCTCTTTAATGTGATCCCATTTTGTTTATCCAGAATTGTCCATCTTGTCCCTATTCCATGGCAATTTGGCTCTTTTAGTGTCCTCTGTACACAGTTTTCTTCTCTTCATCAGTCCTTTTGTTTCTGGTGTGCTCCACCTAACTAAAACCAGCGTGCTATTAAGCCTGGATTCAGTTTTCTCTTCTTTCATGGTAACTCCAGCCTAAATTAATCTGTACCTTCTTTGAATTCCCATCCCAACTCTACTATGGCTCCATCATAAAAACTTGACATATACTATCTTATATTTTTTTAAGCCTTATGGCTTTTAAGGCATGTTTTCTCATGATAACACTTGGAAGAGAAAGCCCTATATCATTTTTTCCTTTATACTATTGCTGAGCACATAATGGGCATTCAATGAACATTTCGTTAATTCATTGTTGTAAAGTCAGCCATTGTGGGGGATGCTTCTTATTCTTTCATTCAACAAAGCTTCTTAATGTCTCCTGAGAAGGATTCAAAGAAAGCAAAGAAAAAAGAAATCCATTACCATTTTTCAGACATGTAAATTGTAGTTGAAAAGGCAAAACATAGCCATATAAAATATTTTAAAATTTGACAAGTGCAGCACATTTGTTCAATGCACAATAACATTGTAGTTTTGTTCTAGTTAATTGTCAAAATGAATGGTTTAGGCAGCAGTGGTGACTATCTTAGAAGTTCAGAGAAAATGGAACTTAAAGTATGCAAAGATTGGAGGAGTCTTTTTTGAGATCATGGAACAATGGCTCCTCCCTAACGAATATCTAAGTACTAGATAGGATGAGAGAGGATGAGGGAGGGAAAGTTAAGGTGGGGAAGGAACATGACAAAAAGATTGCAGTTATTTACTCTAGAATCTTTGGAACAGAAGGTATTTGTTGAGGACTAGTGGAATGCATGCTTAGACACCATGAATAAATTCATTATATTGCATAACTTTGTTCACCAGGCTGATTACCCTGGATTTTTCAGTTGGTTGTCATTGGTAGAGGTATGACAGGATGCTGTTTCCCATTGGTTGAAGTAGAGAGGAAAGAAGACAGAATCCGAATCCTCATACTTGGAACCACTCTATAAAGAAATGTATACTGATGGCTGTGTAGCTCACTACTCAGTCCAGCTCCACAGAAGAGGATAAGGCATGGAGCAAGAGGCTGGGGTGTTGTACTAACACTCCACATGGAAGGAAACTCAGGAGTAGGGAATTATAACCTCCTCTCCCTAATTTCTTTATTTTTTTTTTTTAATGGAGCAATGGATTTGGGATTTATAGGATTTTGAAGATAGTGAAAAAATGTGACTTCAAGAGCAAAGCAGCTTTCTGGGGACTAGTTTGTTAGGCAGATTGAAAGAGGATGTAAAAACAGTACTTATCAAATACAAATATGACAGATAGTTGTTATATATAGAAACCCAGCTAGAATAAAAATGATAGCAAGCAGCCAGAATCTGTGCCTGGGCTAAGGATGACTTGCCTTTGAATGACCTGCTGGACAGTTGTGTGCCTGGGCTTACAAGTCCATGTAAGAATGAATCCAAGCTGTAGTAGAGTTGGAGCCCTGTCTACAGATACGTTTCAGCTCTGGTTTTGAGGGGGTTAGAGGGCTGGAGATATAAGAATGCTCCTGAAGGGAACTGACATTGTGCCAGGTGATTAAGAGGAAAAAGAGATGTGAATGAGGGAAACAGGGAGCTATGCTGCCAGGGTAATCTAGGAATTAGGTTGTGAGACCTCTGATTCTGATCTGTCTCCTCAAAATCTAGTCTGTCCTGTGATATTTTCCCTCAATTCCCTTGTCTCTTGTTCCCCTGGTTACCCTATCCCTTAATCAGATCTCCATGGGCTCTAATGGGCTCTCTTTATTCTATGAGCTAGCCATGCACCCTTGTTGAGCAACCTTTTGACTTCCTTTGTACCCTACTCACTGTATCTTGTGCCTATTTTACTGTCTTTCCGCAGGTCACAAGTTAAGCCATCTGTTCTCATTATTGCCATGTATCTGCTCCCATTCCCTCTTTAATGCTTTTATTCTTAAAGCTTAGGAGCAAGGCAAATACAGGATTTGTTTCAAAATGAGAGAATAGATTTGAAATCATATAAGTTTCTTTCTATAACATGTTGATGGAAAAAATTAACTAGGAATATTTTTTTGTACTCCTTTTTAGAGGCTGACTGCCCATGTGTTGATGAATCAGAGAAGCACCAGGAAAGCAAAGACAATTTTTTGAATTCAGTTTTGTTCACGTTCACTAAAATTCTGACTATGGAGAGACTCCATGGTTATAATATGATCACAAGTCTTAATCCTACAAGAAAAAAATCATATAAATGTAAATCATATGGGAAGAGCTTGCAACCTACTTTAGACTTACTTAATTATAATAGAAGTTATACTGGAGAAAACTCTTATGAATGCAATGAATGTGGGAAAGCCTTCAAAAAGAAGTTTCATTTCATTAGGCATGAAAAAAATCATACAAGAAAAAAACCCTTTGAGTGCAATGACTGTGGGAAAGCCTATAGCAGGAAGGCACACCTTACAACTCATCAGAAAATTCATAATGGAGAGAGACCCTTTGTGTGCAGTGATTGTGGGAAAGCGTTTATGCATAAAGCACAACTGGTGGTCCATCAGAGACTTCACACTGGAGAGAAACCTTATGAATGCAGTCAGTGTGGGAAATCATTCACTTGGAACTCTTCCTTTACTCAACATGTGAAATCTCATACACTCGAGAACTCATTTGAATGTAAGGAATGTGGGAAAACCTTCAGGTACAGTTCATCCCTTTATAAACATTCTAGATTTCACACAGGAGAGAAACCCTACCGATGTATCGTATGTGGCAAAGCCTTTGGCAACACATCTGTGCTTGTTACACATCAGAGAATTCATACAGGAGAGAAACCTTATGGATGTATTGAATGTGGCAAAGCCTTCATCAAGAAGTCTCATCTCCTTAGACATCAGATAACTCATACAGGAGAAAAGCCTTATGAATGTAACAAATGTGGGAAAGCATTTTCCCAGAAGTCAAATCTTATCGTACATCAGAAAATTCATACATAATACTCACTTTATGAATTTGAAAAAGCCTTAAATATTACTTAAATCTTATTAAATAGCAGATAATTCATGGTGAGAAGAAATCCATCAATTTGAATGAATTTGGAAGAGTAGATCCCCATAAAAAATAATCAATGCCAATCATGTTCTGGAATTGATAAAGTTTTCACAGAAAAGATGACAGAAAACATTGAATTATAAATAATAGAGCGTAGAGCTTGGAAAGTAAGCATAACTTAATCAAGGAATCAATACATTTACCATCTCTGATTTTTTATTTTTATAATAAATTATACAAGTGTGAGTATAAAATATGTTTATACATTATATCTATTAAGTTTCTGCAGTAAATATCACCATTTTTTTCTTCCAATCCTAACAATACTATGCAAGTGAAAAAATGGTTAAATATATTGTATGATATATTTCAGTAATATTTTCATCCATTTGCTGGCACTTTTAGTGGGCATGGCAGTGTTACTGAATCTGAGAGTCTCGTCTTTATAAAACTCATTATAAAAATGTTTTCCTATGTATGTAAACACCAAAACAAAAAATTTAACAAGATGCCAATTGAGAGGGGAAAAGCAGTTGTATTCTGTATTACAGTAAGTATTTGTTGAGGAAAAGAAGTATTTAAATAAGTATGTAAATAAAACATTTGCACTCAGATATTCCTGTTTTTCATTGGTGTATCTACATAAGATGTAAGCATAGCTCAAGTAGTATTTAACTGGGGTATCATCTGTATTTGATTTTAGTAAAGTGGTGTCATGATACTTTGCAACTTTCAGAGAGCAAGTTTTTGAGTCTGGTTTTTGGGTTTTTTTGGTAAGTAATTGATACAGGTTTAGCTTCTGGGGTGCCTGGAATTTTCCATATGACAGCATAGGCAGCATTAATCGAGTTGCAAAGAGCAAGTTTTTCTGCTTAGCAACTTCACTTTGGGGTATGACACTTTTTTAAGTTCTCCCTTAAAAGGATGAACCATCCATTATTTAAGCTCAAGTTTTTATTGCTGTCTGCAATATTCCTTCATAATGTCAAAAAATCTTTATGCCTTTTCTTGAGTGATGACAAAACAGCTTGAACCTAAATTCAGGAATCAAGCCTCTTCCTTTCAGCTTTAAGCTCAGTTACAACTATGTTGCATTGCTTTTCCTTCATTAGCCATTTTTTGAAGAGTAATGTTGAGTAATGATTATAAATAAATGATAGTGCTTTTTTGAACAAGCACACTAGAACTTAAGGATCTAAATTAAATCTTGTCTGCTGACAAAGAGTCTTTGCTTGACCAAACTTTAGTCAGACTCCTCAGGCTTCTCCTGGGCCCATGTGTGCACCTCCCTGTAAAATTTAGTTTTAGCAAGAATCCTGCTAATTCACTCTAACCAGAACCCCCACTCTGGATAGCTGATCAGTTCCTTCAGGTGACGTGTGATCACCCTGGCTTGTTTTCAGCAAGAATTCCATTAGGTTGATTTAGCCAGAACCTTTCTTACCCCTGATGTTTCCTTTAGTAATTTTCCATCCCTTCCCCCCACCCTGCTCCTTGGCTATACATTCCCACTTGCCCATGCTGTATTTGGAGTTGAGCCCAATCTATCTCCCCGACTAAAATCCCATTGCAGTGGTCCCTATACCTATTGTGATGGTCCTGAATAAAGTCAGTCTTGCTATCTTCAACAAGGAGGCTACATGCTACTTTCACTTCTGCAATCATTCCAACAGTTTCTGGAACCTTCTTGCTTTTGGAATTGTCTTCAGAATCAGTTTGCCAGCTACCCAGGAAATTCTTCAGGTATTTATAGTCACAGGACTTGCAATTTTTGTGTGTGTGTGTGAGGAAGATTAGCCCTGAGCTAACATCTGTTGCCAATCCTCCTCTTTTTGCTGAGGAAGATTGGCCCTGGGCTAACATCCATTTCCATCTTCCTCTACTTTTTCTTTTTTTGTGTGAGGAAGATCAGCCCTGAGCTAACATCCATGCCAATCTTCCTCTTTTTGCTGAGGAAGATTGGCCCTGGGCTAACATCCATTTCCATCTTCCTCTACTTTTTCTTTTTTTGTGTGAGGAAGATCAGCCCTGAGCTAACATCCATGCCAATCTTCCTCTTTTTGCTGAGGAAGACTGGCCCTGGGCTAACATCTGTGCCTATCTTCCTCTATTTTATATGGGACACCACCACAGCATGGCTTGACAAGCGGTGTGTCGGTGCGCGCCCAGGATCCGAACCTGCAAACCCCGGGCTGCCCGTGGTGGAGCACATGCACCTAACCGCTACACTACCAGGCCAGCCCAGGACTTGTATTTTTTTCAGGTCAACAGTTTTCTCTCATTTCCTACATAAAATCCTCATTTTTCCCTACTTAGTGGTTACCATTCCCATCCTATCTTCCCTTCCCATGCCCATGCCTCTCATCTGAGAAGCTCCAAACTACTTAAGACTACAGAAAGAGGAAACATTTTAGGAGGGAGTTGGGGGCTCCACTGTTGCCAGCATGATGTGAGGTCCCCTTGAAAGAGCAGCCATGTAGGTCAAGGTGGCAAGAAGTGTGCAATGGTCTGCTCTAGGAATAAGGAAATAGAACAAGGAAGTTTGTTACAAACAAACAAACACAGAGATATGGAGACCAGATTGGTGCTTCCCAGAGGAGAAGGGGGCAGGATGAAGGTGAAAGGGACACATTTGTACAGTGACAGAGGGCAACTAGACTTGTTGTGGTGAACATGATGCGTTCTATACAGAAATTGAAATATGTATACCTGAAATTTATATAATGTTATAAACCAATGTGACCTCAAAAAAATAATAATAAATAAACAAGTGAGTTTTAATTGTAATATATCAGGAAGCATGTAATCTGGGTTCCACAAATTAATTTGTTCCTTTCCTTAAGTGAAAGAAGGAATACGGTAGAATAAGTTAAAATATATTTCCACTACTGGACAAATATAAACTGCCACCTGGAGAGCTTTCATCGCTGACCTCATTGTCTTCTTAGGCTGCAAAAGATTTTGGCAAGAAGAAAACCAAAACTATGCTCAGCTCCATCCAAACATCTCGGATTCCCAGAACTCCCTAGTCTATTTGTGCTCTGTGCTGAAACAGCTGTGCACAATCTAAGTGAGAAATCCTCCAATTTTTCCAACCTCTAAGAGTTTGTCATAAATTGAGATATTCTTTCTTTTTTTTTACTCTATAAAAAGATCACTCAAAAATGCCCTCTTTCTCTTTTTTTTACACATAGATGGTAGAGTGGCATTTCCCCCCCAAGGAAACTGTTCATTTTTTCTGATTACATCATATATGCTAATTTTTAAGAATCAAATACAAAAAGTATAATGAAAAGAAACAGAAGAAGTGGAAAAGGGAGAACTGTGTTTGGAGTCCTTGTGTTGTTCTCAAAAAGAACAGAAAGTTTAGGCCTTATAAGACGTAAAAAAATTTAAGGGTAACTAGAAAAGCATAGAAATAGAATGTGTAACATAAATCTGAAGAGAGGAATAATGAAAACTCAATAAACCCAACAGAGGGCAGGAAAGGAGAAAGTTGCAGGAAAAAGGTATGATAAATAGAAAGCAAAAATAATGGCAGAAATACATAAAAGCATATCAATAGTAACATTAACTGCAAATGAGTTAAACTTCACCTATGACGAGAAATAAACAATGACCTGTTATAATGTTTTTAGAAGCACTTGAATCTTTTTATAATTTCCTTTGCAAACTAAAAGCATCTGATTTCCAGTGAGTTAGAGCGGACCACTGCTCACTTGTTGCCACCTTGACCTATGCAGCTGCTCTTGCAAGTGGATCTCCCACTATACACGCAACACTGGAGCCCTCCACACACTTCTTGTTGTCTTAAGTACAGTTTGCAGTTTCTCAGATGAGGGACAGGAGCAGGGGAGAGAAATTACAGTACCAATATTGTATGTTTTATGTACTCTGTTCAAAGTTATTTAAATTGCTTCATTTCTTTGCATGTTTGTTACTGATTTAATACACAGGTTCTTTTTTTTCTGTTCGTATTTGATTTTACAGTTTTGGTTTTTTCTTTTTAGGTAATTAATTTTTAACTTTAGATTATGAAAAAGTTCAAACATTCACAAAAGTGGAGAGAACAGTATAATGAATTCCCATCATATCTCCTACTTCAACAATCAGCAATTCAAGGCCAATCTTATTTCTTCTATCTCCTTTCCTAGTATCCACTCACTCTCAAATTATTTTTTAAGTGAATCCCAGACACTAGATCATTTCATTCACAATACTTCAGCACCTATCTCTAAAAGTTAAGGATTCATTTTAAAGCACATGACCACAATAGCATTATCTCTACAAACAACATTTATTAAAATAATGCAATATAAATATTGAAACGGTATTTGAATTCTTCTTATTTATTTTTTCTAATTTATTTATTTACTTGTTGCTGAGGAAGATTCGCCCTGAGCTAACATCTGTGCCAATCTTCCTCTATTTTGTACATGGGTCACTGCCACAGCATGGCTGATGAGTGGTGTGGGTCCGTGCCTGGGATCTGAACCCGTGAACCCAGGCCGCCAAAGTGGAGCACACTGAACTTAACCACTATGCCACAGGGCTGGCCCCTCTAATTTATTTTTAAACAAATATTTCCAAGGTTCAAAAATCAAAACTATATTTCCTCCATCCCATTACCACCCACCCTATAGATAATCACTTTCATTAATTTCTGATTTATTCTTCTAGGTTCTTTCTGCCAAACACACACACACATACGTATACATATATGTTATTAGTATATATTCTTTCTCCTTTTTTCTTATATAAAAGGTAGCATACTATATATAATCTTTTGCACCTTGCTTGGTTTTTTTTTCGCTTAATGTCTGTATCAATCAAGGTCCAATCAGGAGACAGAAACCACACAGGGAAAGTTTAATATAAGAATTTTTAACTGCAGTCATGCATCCCTTAACAACTGGGGTACATTCTCAGAAATGCATCATTAGGCAATTTCATCATTGTGCAAACGTCATAGAGTGTACTTACACAAACCTAGATAGTATAGCCTACTATACGCCTAGCCTATATGGCACTAATCTTATGGGACCACCATTGTATATGCGATCTGTCCTTGACCAAAACGTCATTATGCAGTGAGGGACTGTATAATGGAATTGGAATAACAAGGGACTGGCTGATAAGACATAAAGAGAACTCTAAAGAATACAGAAATAACAGGTATAAGGACAAGCCACTATCTCTAGGGCTCAGATAGAGTGTCTGAAGGAAGAGCACTCTCCTAGCTTGTGCTGAGCTCCAGGCCTTGGTGGTAAGACCTCAGCTGTGGCTCACTGGATGGCAGAGACGTTGCAGGGGTGGGGGTGGCAGTGAGCTATTTATTGGGAGGTGGAT